AAGCAATTTCTATTTATTTAAACTAAAAGTCCACTTTGGCCGCTACACTTTGCTTCTTAATGTTTTTTGTTTGTTTTTTTAATTAGGGAAGGATGTTGTTAAATAACTTCCCATTTCCCTGGTAAATAAAAAAGATATGGACATTTATCATAGTTTTGATACAGTGAAACCCATTTGAAAGCAAAAGAAACGGTCTAATCTCACCAAGGGCGAGACAAAGACCTCATAGCAGCTCTCCAGGCATTAAACATGAGGTAAGTAAATATAAATAGATCACACACACACACACAGACACACACACACACACACACACAGTGACCTGTGACAGGAATGCCAGTTTATTAAGATAACGGTTTAAGAAGATTACCTCGCTTACTTTGTTTTGCACATCAAAAAACCCGCCTTGAACTTATTCTTTTATCTTGAGCTATTTTCTGCCCCGCCACAGTCCAGTGGGTGTCTGGTCAGAGGAACAGCTGCATGTGTGCGTGTGTGTGTGTTGTGTGTTTCCTCTCACAGCCATGTGTTGGTCATTTCTGTTGGAGGAGAGCCACCAGCAGGGGGTCAGATACTTTTTAATTGTCTCGGAGCTTCCTGGAATTCCATTCTCCATCTTCCGATCTTGATCATTTCCCCTCATTTTAACAGGGGTTCGATCAAAATATCATAAACGGATGAGTGAAACGGTAACATAACTTTATGGTTCTCCAGAGAGTTAGATTAGACATAAATAGCAGATAAAGAGTCATAAATTAGTATAGTTAAAGTTGTCCACAGAGTTATGGTTCTTGATGATGATGAAGAAAAGACCTGTTGCTGCTGTGAGTGTTTTCCATAAAGTAAGAAAAGAGAAACAGGTAATAACTTTGATAAGTCATTTCAATTAGTAACAATAATAAGTATAATTCTAGAAAAGTGACAGACTGCTCAGTGTCTTCAGCAGGATTTTCCATGGGGACTTCTCTTACGAGGACTGACCAAAGCAGCATGGTGAGGGAGCAGTGCCCCTTTGTGGTCAAAGGGTTTTTATGCAGAGTTCAGAGTAATGGCAGGGAACTGAAGTTATGGTAGACTAGATGGAATTGGCAATCAGTGTAATAATTTTAAAAAAGTGGAGGAGGAGGGTTAGTTCTAGAGTTCTTGTTGTGGTTTCTGTTACTTCTAGGCGTGGTGCTTTGGATTCTTTAACGGGTACACCCAGCAAAATGAGCTACTAGTGGAAAAGTTGCTTCACGTCTGTCGATTAATTGCATTTAATGAGAGGGACGTGTGGTTTGGCTCTCGAAATGTTCACCTCCCCCTGATAAACAAAAATGGGATTGAACATGTTGTTTAACATGACACCGTTCAAAATCCTGCTGTTAACAGGCTTGGTTCACAGGCAGAGCACGGTGAGTGACTCTTTCTGTATATTCTGATAAACTGAAAGGAAGCCTGTGTTCCTCTGACAAGACTGAAGAGTCTTTGTCAGCAGGCAGTTTAGCTAAGATAATAACATGACAGTGAGATGTCACATCCTGATGATTTTAAACAGGGTGGCAGGGCTGGAAATATTTGAAACAGGGACTGCTGGAAGATGGATACTGACAGTAGTAAGTTGTTTGTTTTTCTTGTCTAGGTGTGAATCTTCTATTTCTTGTGCATAAAACAGAGAAATAATTTGAGTTTATTAGCTCAAGAAACATGCAATATTTCAGGTGAAGCGTATTAATTTTTGTTGGAGTTAGTTCTGTTTTAACTCAGGATGTGAATGTCTTATGAAGATAACTGGGCCAATGGTTGTGAGGTATTTTTCATTTATCCTTAAATTGAATAAATAAGTGAATATAACTTAAAAGAAAAAGATCCATTGAAAGTGAAAATACCTTTTTTGTCTTTTACGCTGTAACTCACTCAATGGCTTTTCACTTTGTTGTGAACATGAAATGAATTAAACATTGCCAGCTTCAGGAAGAAGTCAGGGCTACACAAAGAGGGCACAGAGAAACGTTGACCCCTGCCACTGACTGATATTATCCAGTTTATCATTAATTACAAGCTCAACAAGCTGCCTCATACCTGTTTTAGCCCCGGTTTCAGCTGTCATACATGTTGAAGGCCCACAGTGGAACCTAAGCTCCATCTTCTCCGGACCGCTGTGACTCACTGATGTCGGCGTGAATAACCAGGGCTATATTTAAGTTCCAGTCTGTCTGCTCCATGCACCCGCATTATTTATATCTCCCGCCGGTGCCTCAGTTAACCCGCTCCCCCCTCTGCTGAGTCCAGCAAGGAGAAGGTCGATTTCAATCTACTCAATGGCATATTTTACGGCGCTGGCTAATTATACCGTTCACATTTCCAAAAAACAATATAAATCTCAGGCTGTTCCCACAGCCTGACCAAACTGTTTCATTCGGAATATAGGAGCATCTTAGATGAATTTTAAGCAGTGAAACTGGAAGGAGGTACACGTCTGTGGTGCTTAGGTTCTATTGAATTAGTTTAATTTTGTTAACAGGAACAAAGTCATCGGCTTATTGATTTTCTGGCACAGCAAAATACAGTAAAAGCCCCACATGCTCATTAAGACGTTTGATGTCTTATGAAAAAAAAAAGAAAGAATGAAAAATGTTTTAATTGTTTAGACATGTCAAGCAGCCTCTTTTTGGGTGAAAAAACACAACGTGCTGAACTCATATCACAGATTACACAGTATATTTAGTTTTTTGTTGTTTTTAAAAATCTTACCTGTGATCGATCACTAAGATCTGTCCTGTGTCCTCACCCCAACGGGAATTGCATGTAGTGACACTTGGACACTTCCACATCCAGTGTGGCGCTTCCTTCTTTTCCCATGCAAACACACACACACTCCCTCACACACACACACACTCACACACACACTCCCTCAGCCTCTGGTAACTGGACCGCAGAGGTGGGGTGGAAGGCTGTGACAGAAATAAACACGTGATGACGCCCCTGCTGGGCTGCACTCACTGCAAGTCACTCACACACGTTCGGACACACACTGGACACACGGGCCCGTCCCTCATTTTCTGCTTTTGACTTTTTGATCACTGCTATCGGGGAGAAACCAACAGTATAGCGTTCGAACATGTCGGGGCTGCTCTGCGGGACTAAGAGGAAGAAACAAGGTAATCTGATTTTAAAGCTGAGCTCTAGGGAACTTGGAGGGATAAATGGGGAAGTGGGATTTGTGACCTTTAATGCGATTTTAGTTCAATCCAGCAATGCATTTAGTCAGACATTAAGATAAATCTGTATTTTTTCACCATTTGTCATATTTCTGCAGTGGTAAATGAATTGTATTCAGTGATATGGACATTGAGGTCCCAAAAGTTGTGTCCGACTCGGTCCAAAGCAGCAATAGCGCAGTAAGGTGGACACACAGGCAGGAAGCAGGACAATTATGATGAAATGCAGACTGCCCGCTCTGTAATTGCAACGCTCAGCGCTGATCTGTAGTCAGATTCAGGGCTCGTTGAGAAGGCTGAATCAGATAGGAAATCTGCCGGGACCCCTCATCTTCGGCTAATGATGTTTATTTTCTCCTTGCTCACACTTTGAAGGCACATTTTTTTATTTAGATCAAATAAACTCGTTAGACCTCAGTTCCGAAAATGTGTCTCTTATGCTTTTGCTCCCCCCCACACACAAAAAAAGGAATGTCCTCATGTCAGGCCTAACCTTGCCCGTCCTTTGAGGCTTTATAAATAGTCAAGTAAGTCAATGAAACGACCGATTTGAGAGTATTGGCTGTGCTGCAGCCTGTTGCAGGTCCTACAAACTGTAATGCAGGAAGATAAAAGCATTTGGCCATTAGGAGCAGAATGCCTCTGAATCCCTTGAGTATCACTGCAGTCAGCAGGGGAAGACACGTATTTCATTCAAAACTGGACTCATTTTTACAGTTTAATTTCTTTCAGTCGGTCAGTGATCTCGTTTCTGTCAAATTCCCAAAACAGCTATATTCTAACTTTCTCGATTTGTGCTAAAAGTGTCAAACTGTACATTTGGAAAACAGAACTTTGACTTGGATTGTTGTGGGAGGCATTATCGGTGGACACTGCTGCACCACACTATAATCTCAAATGAAAGGAAGTGTGTAAGAAAAAAGGGAGGAAGTGACACGTGTGAAACCCCTGGCAGCAGCTTAAAATATAATCATAATAAACTGCTGATTACAATGCGATAAGGTACACTTTTTATAGAGTCACTCACATAATGCCGTCGATGGGATTTTACCCTAAACCCAACCCAACTGCAGAAACATCTCTGTTTCAGAATTAAAGATCGGTGGAAATCTTGAGTAAATAATTTCTTTTCATTTATATGTGTGAGATTTGATGTATTTGATTTTTTGAGAAGTCAATATGTGCAGTTCATTAAATGACAGTGTGTTCAGTATTGCAACTGTTGGGAAAACTTGCGGCTAAACGGCTGAAGAGGTGTCAAAGGCCTCTCTTTTCACTGGGGTTTTTGTGGCACTTGGTCACAAACGGTTTTACAGCTACCACTTTGCTTTCTCACCTTTTGCGTGTCCTGTTTGTCTTCTTAGTGAGTGATCTCCATGAAGAGGGAAAGAATGCCATCAATGCACCCATGCTGCCTTCTGGAACAGACATCCATCCAGAGGACACTCTGCTGGGTAAGTGCTCATTTTTATTTTCCGTACCCACAATGTCCAGCTCAGTACCATTAGCCAAGTGGCAGAGTATGCCACTGGTAGTTTCCCAGTCAAACGCAAAGAAAAACAGCCATGCAAGGTCAAGCACACTCTTAGGATCAATTGAGAATCAACAGTTAATAGAATGTGGATGTTTTATGGAAAGAAAGTAGGCAAAGTAAGTAAACAGCAAACTTAACAAGTGTCACAAAGTACTTTGCAGAAGACAGAAACATGGTAAAATACACAATAGTGTAGAATACAAAGAAACAGGAATAGAAAACAGTCAGAGGAGTCAAAGGAATACCTGGAAACAACTGATGAACACTGAAAACACGCAGATAAGAAAGAGCTTCACTTAGATTTGAAGCATTGACATTCTTGCTGAGAGTCAACAGTGTCTGAATAGAAATGGTCTAATATGGAACTGAAAAAGAGCTGTTTTCAGTTCAAAATCCCACTGGCTTGTGCAAAATATGTCTTTACTCATGTCTGAAACCTGTAGCAATTTACAGTCAGGGGTAAGTCATTTTTAAAAAGGATATGAACAGGACTGCTGACACATGGTGACAGATGGGGGCTGACAGCGCAGCAGGAAGTGAAAGAGGGTGGAGTGAAGTCATTTCTAACTGTGTGAATCACCTTTGAAATCATATCTGAAGGAAGACATTGTGAATATGTTTTGTGGACATAAAATTCTGATAAATGCATTCTTACAAGCATGAATGTATGTGTATGTACGTATATGTATGTATGTGTATATATGTATATGTATGTATATGTATATATGTATATGTATATGTATGTATGTGTATATACAAATATTTATATATGTGTATATATATATATGTATATACCTCTAAACCCAAAAGTTTTGACCTCTTTTTGTTTGAATTATTCCAGAAGAAAATGCTGAAAGGCTGATGTTGGACCCAACTTCTCGTGAAAATCTTAAGTTCAAAGATCTTTTAAAGGTAGTTTGAGATGACGTGATGGCGAGATAATGGCATTAAAGTACTGATAGGATGTGTAAACCAGAGAAAGCTTGATCAAAGGTTTCCTTATAGGTCCTGATTGACTGGATCAACAGCGAGTTGGAAGAGGAAAGGATCATAGTCAAAGACCTGGAGGAGGACTGCTATGATGGACAAGTGCTTCAGAAATTATTTGGTGAGAGACTCACATCTTACCTTTAAATGTCAATCGGAGAATAGAATCTTTTACATATTTTAAATTCTATCAGTACCACAATCACTATAAACTGAAAGCCTTAGTCACAGAGTAATCTGCTCAAAGGTGAGCTCAACACATTTTATCGGTGAGCTCCATCTTATCAGAAAAGGCACCAAGGTTTTTATTGCATTATTATTCCTGGACACACTTTCACGACCCATTTCTAAAACAAGAAGCTGTTTTCAGTCAGGTTTTTTCTTTGATCAGGCAGCTAAAAGAGTCAGAAAATTTAACTAAATTTGTTAAAAAAGCAGTCTGATCAGTTTTTCGACTTTACGATGAATTACATCAATTTCTGCACCTTAGTCCTCAACTTGATTCTTCTCCTGTGCATGTAAACTGGGACAAGCACATTGTCCAGTTAAAAAAGTCCTTGACACTCAACTAAACTTCAACGATCAACTCAACTGTGCATGACCATGCCTTCAACCTGGAAGGGGCTACCCTCTAGTGACTGTTATGTGTTACTACACTACTGGTAACACTATTTCTCCATCCATCCATCCATCTGACAAGCATTAACAGTAGCAAGATGTCTAAGATGAGTGTGCTAGTTTGTCCACATCTGATGACATATGCTGCCTTGGTGGCAGGAACAAGTGTTAAAATACACAGTAGGACACCATGTGGTGAAGTCACGTATGAGTTCTCTTTAAGTCCCTTTTAGTTTTCACACTCCTTCATCATTTTGCTTTAATATGTCATCTTGGTTTTTCCGATTTTGCGACCGTGCTGCTGTAAATATTTCCCCTTTTTTGAGATGCACTCGAGCCCACACACTTGAGTTAAGCTGTGTGAATATCCTTCTTACTCACTGCTTAAAGGAAATAAGTCTTTCTTCTATAAGTCATCTTTGTTTTACACATATACTGACACATTACAAGATTAATCTTCGTGTTTTCCAAAGACAAGAAACCCAAAATAACACTGGCATGAACAAACATTTGCCGTCTTTTTTTTTCTCACTTTAAAGCATTCATTTATTTTATGTACTTGGTTTTGATTCCCCTTTACTTTGTAAAGAAGCTGGTTGAGTTTGTCTTTTTTTTCACAGCCTACATGCATGAATCGGTTGTATTCTGCGCATTATGCCCCATAAAATCTGGAAAACTACTACAAGAATAGTGTCTTGTGTTCTCCAAAAGCCTTTTCTCTTTCCTTTGCCCGGTATTAATGATATTTGTTCCGTCTTGTCTGTTTGTGACAGAAAAGTTGTCGGGCAGGAAGCTCAACGTGGCCGAGGTGACCCAGTCAGAGATCGGCCAGAAACAGAAGCTCCAGACAGTTTTGGAGGCGGTCAATGACCTGCTGAGGCCTCATGGCTGGACCATTGAGTGGAGTGTTGACTGTGAGTTTTACTGTGATGTTATTTGCTGCTCTTAAGGTTGTTGCTGGTGAAAGATGGTGAAAATATTATGTCTTTTATTATGCAAAGTATTGGAGCCCCCCTGCCCCTTTCTCACAAATTTCTTCAGGCTCTCTTTTACTAATGTCATTCTTACAACCTCCTAACTGTCAACATCTTATAAATTTAGTGTGTGACATTTGGGCAGCACAGCTGAGTTTTATTGGAATTTCGTGCAAGGATTTTAGAACCCATACTACTTTTGTTGGCTCGTGCTTGATTTGCCACTTAAGAAGCACTCAAGTTTTGTGTAAATCTGCTTGCTCTGTGAAATAATTGACTCCCCCCCCTTTCATTATTATCTTCACAGCCATCCATTCGAAGAATCTGGTGGCTATTGTTTACCTGCTGGTGGCCCTCGCTATGCACTTCCAGGCCCCCATCAGACTACCCGAACACGTGTCTGTGCAGGTGGTGGTGGTGAAGGTAAAGTGTCCCATCAGTGTGGAATCATGTAGGGACAACATGTGCACATCCATTTCGATTGAACTTTAAATATATCAGAAATGCTTTCAAAGTAGATGGTGAAAAAAGTGAATTATGGACAATATAACACTTTCACATCCTGCTCAACTATTCGGTAGAGCGCTTTTTCCCCTGATTGTACTCGGGCATAGGTTATAATAGAGGAAGTGCTCTCTAATCAGGCTTAGTGTCACCCCAACAACCTTTGAAAAAAGCATTGATTCTGGTCGTTATTACTCCAAAGAAAGATGATGCAAAGAAATATTTTCCTGTTTGTACATGTTAACGGTCGAACAGAACATTCCCCATAAAGGCATCTCATATAGATCAAAAAGATATCTATAAACCAATCCTTCATTAAATTAGATTTTTACTGTCAATTTAGGATTGAGCTGAATTCTCTCGTTGTATATTTTATGATTGTCTCTCCCGTCCATGTGTTGCCCACATAGAATATTTTTCCTGTCTGTCCAGAAACGTGAAGGCATCCTGCAGACCGTCGTTGTGACCAAAGAGCTGACCAGTTCCACAGAGTAAGAGCTGCCCTTTTTCCAACCTGTTCAAGCCAAATAATGAAATTGAATGGAAGAACTGAATTGTTTGTCGTTGCATTTCTTCTTTCTCACAACTGAAATATTGTATTTTTTTTTGTATTTCAGAATGATGATTGGAAGATTTGGTGAGTTCAAGCCACGTTTAAATAAAACAGAATTAGTGAAATATTATTTTGTTTTAATTCCCCCACTCATCGAGCAGCTTCTTGGTGAGATGTTGAAGTCTTATCCATGGTACACTGCCTATGCTTAGATTAGTTTAAAAGCACAATTCCAATAAACTGGTTAGAGGAGAATTTCAAAATCTTAAATAAATTAAATCCATAGAAAAAGAATCCGAGTAAAATGTATATTTTTGGAAAATCAAATAGTTGGGGACATATATAATGCCTGTTTAGGAAACAGTCATGATAGGACCAAAAGAGTGTTTGTTTATTGAGATAGTCTTAGAAAGTAATCACACATATGACAAACTTGTTTTACCCTATGAAACCCATTTATGCGCAAAAGTAAAATCCCTTTAACAATCAAATGTAATGATGTGGTCTTCTAACAGAGAGGGATGCGTTTGACACTTTGCTGGATCATGCACCAGACAAGCTCAATGTGGTAAAAACGGTAAATAAACTCTTAGTGGATAGTTTGACACCTTAAAGTTCCACATTGTGAAGATTCTAGTGTGAAAAATATGATTAACAGTTTTTTTTCTTCTCTTACCAGTCACTCATCACCTTTGTGAACAAACATCTGAACAAACTCAACTTGGAAGTAACTGAGCTGGAATCTCAGGTAAGAGATGGAAACCTTTTGTTTGCCCGATCAATTTCATCATTGTCAAAATCAAAAAAGTTGAATATCTACATTTTGGGGCGTGCATGTATGTTTGTTTTTGTCATGTCATCTTCCATCTGGAATATGTGACATCTATGAAAATGTTCTCATGTTGTCTAACAGCTGAATTTGGCAACATATGTATGAAAATAATTGGATTTTTATTGTATACTTCTTTGTTTGTGTAACCAGTTTGCTGACGGGGTATACTTGATTTTACTGATGGGGCTGCTGGAAGATTACTTTGTCCCACTGTACAACTTCTTTCTCACCCCTGAGAACTTTGAGCAGAAGGTAACCTTACCTTGAAAACTATTTGGTTAAAGAACTATCAGAAATAAGTGTCGGAGGATTTAATCTGTTTATTTTTATTCCTGTTCAGGTCCACAATGTTGCATTTGCCTTTGAGCTGATGCAGGATGGAGGTTTGAAGAAACCCAAAGCCAGACCAGAAGGTATTTTCTACTTTCACATTATTACAGCATCAAATGAGGTATAAAAATGGGAATTTCCTAAAGAGGATTTGGTGGAGAATGATACAATCACTTTAAAAAGAGGATGGAACTAGTTGTTGATCTAGTGGTTGCCCAGTAGATGGAAACCTTGTCTTCAGCTGAAACAGTGGATGGGTACTTCTGACCTCTTTCAGCCCTGAGAGGCTCTTCAGTGTTCAGGTTGCCACTTTCCTGAATATATTAAGCGTAAAAACCTAAATGAGAAATGCTAGCTTAATGTCATTTTTGGATAAAATTTCTTTGTAAATATATCGTAGATTAGTCATTTTCTTTTACTTCTTGAATTTACCTGAAAAAGCTTCTCAGAACATCTCAGTTTTACATACATTTGCAGTCACTTTTGCTCTTACTTAATTATTTAATCTGCTTATCTAACATTTTTCTGTTCCAATGCTGTGAAGATTTATGGAAATTAACCTTCCTTATACATATATTCCCCTTGGTTTTTTAGGTTTAGACTTTAATCGTAAACCGATACCCTCAAAGAATATGAAAAAACAGCAAAGTAGCTTTTCCCTTTTATTGCAGCACTAATAATCCAGATTTTGTTCAATTGTACAGCTGTTTGGTTAAATATTGTCTAATTTTATGCACATTTTTAACGCAAATTCTGCATGCATATGCATGTATTTTTAAACAGTACCAAAAAAGGAAACATTTTCTTTTACAGAAATCACTTGTGGACTTGCTCCCAATTTTTGGGCTCGATCCAGGTAGCTCGTACTATCGCAGCTGCTCTGAGTAGCACAGTGTTCCTTCAGGTTTGCCATGCTTAATAAACAAGGAAACAAACCCCCTCTGGAGAAATCTAAGATTCAGAGTGCTATGCACTGCTACTGCTGTTGATCGGCAGGTCCCATATAGCACAGATCTAGCTGTATTGATATTTGTTATTTAGCTGTCACGTCTTAGTCTAGAGCTCTGTGCTAACCACAAAGGGAGGAGAAGCCTACTTTCTACTTAGTGGTAGTGGTACTCTATCAGATGCTAATTATTTATGCATTGTTGGAAAATTCAAGCCACAGGTCTGTTCTACAATTACATATACCTGTCTGAGAGGAACGTTATCCAATGTTAATTGCAGTTGAGGCTCCTTTTCATTTTGAATATATCTTTATAACAGCCTGTTTATTTAGTTTTCATGTGGATCATTTCTTTTCTCGTGCATCTGTTCTTGTACACATCTAAGATCAATATTTTCTTCATGAAAGCAACTTAAACCCGGGAAATGTATCACTTTTTTTTTTTGTCCAGATGTCGTCAACCTGAACCTCAAGTCAACCCTCAGAGTTCTCTACAACCTGTTCACCAACTACAAAAACTCTGACTGAACTTTACCTTTCCCCGTTCTACACCCTGATTTGACTCTGATCTGGCCCTGTGCTGACAGAACTACGGTCTGGACACTGGAAAACCACCAGAGACTGAAAGACATCGTTATGTGCAACTTTAAAAGATCCTTGGTGGCCCGGCTATATTAAGGCTCAGAATGTTCATGTTTAAATGGCTCCAAATGTCAGTATTTATTTATTCCAGGCTTGGAAATGATCCGCTATGCAGGGAGCACTGTGACCTTTCGCTCTGCATTTGAATACAGCCATCATGGCAAAATTGTTAAGTTAGAATACGTTTGTATGTTAAAATGAACTAATTACTCTGCATTGCTGAATTATTCTGGAACAATGCTGTTACAACGGTAGAGAATCTCGGTTGGCTTTTTAGAATTTAGAGGAAAAACATAAATATTTTTGGGAAACATGCTTTCCAGAAAAGACCTGAGGCAAATTACAAATAAAAACTAAATGCAATGATCTTAAGGTAATTAAATTTCCATATTTAATTGAAACAAAATGTAAGCTGGTGAAACCCGTACTCATTGTTTTGTTTGCTTTTCACACATTTTCTCCCATTTTGAATTTCATACCAGCAACACATTTAATCAAAAAGAAAGGAGAATAAGATGGTATTGGGGCCACAGGTGAGTTAAGAAGCACTGCAGTGCTCAGAAAATATTAAATTCAACTTCTCAAAACACATTATTTTAATCGACAAGAGGTTTGAAATATGACTGAATAGAGAGATTCTGAGAAAAATATTTGTAGAGATGTGACTCTTTGTGAATATAAAACAGAACTCTTTAGCTCTAAAGCATCTCCTCATTAAAAACAGATGTGACTATCTTGAAACACCTCTGAAAACACCTTGTTAGTTAACCTATTTTGGCACACAAACATTACAAGACTACAAGCAAATTCCACATATATATCTACATAAGATAAGGGAATGCAGCTTCCTTTTCATGACCAATGTTTGTGTACCAAAGCCAAAATTAAAACCTTCTCTGTGAAGATTTCGGATGCTTTGTCCCGATTAACTCCACTTGTCAGCTGGGAAAGGCTCCCACTCCCCTGTAACCCCATTGGGAAAAAGCGGTGTAGAAAATACCTCCTCGGGCTAAAGAGTTAAAGGGGCATCCTGCACTGAGGATGCATTCCTGCATGCGGTGTGTTTACCTTCTCGAGTATCAATACTGACGATTGCTTTTTCCGAAATACACCATTTTCAATCAGCTACTTATTGTCTTTTTAAGAGAAGGGCTAACTTTTTTATGCATTACCACAACAACTTAAATGCAGCGTTTGACTGTATTTGCTATTTTGTAAAGTACTCTAAATGGGTTTCCACACAGTGCTGCCCTTTGGTGTACTTTCATACAACAAATACTAGCCAAACCTCCAGCTGTTGACAGCAACACTGGCACCTTTCAGTCAAAAAACTACAGCATTATTCTCAGTCTCCAGTGTTGCTGAAAGTTAAAGCAGTGTATTGGTAAAGATTACCATTATTCCATCATTTTTCAGTCTTCATGGGATCCATTTAAAGATGTTGTAATGTTTGGCACACATTTAATATAATTTGTTCATTTAGACTTTTAGAGTAGTTTCTGTATTTATTTAAGTGTTTATTTAAGAGTTAAATTAATGTTCAAGTCAAGAGAAACATCCATTTTGTCTTTTTCCATTGTCAGCTCATATTCACTATAGGTAGAATAAAAAAACACATTGTTGCTATTACACAATACTCCATCAAACAAATTCTTACTAAATGTTTTTATCACATTTATGCAGTCTATTTAAACGGTACATATTCTAAATGAAAATATAAAAAAAAAAATGTTTAAGAAATTTAAAAATACAAAGTACTGCATCTATTTGATGTGACCAAGATTCTCATATTTTTCAAAAGCGGGAGAAACTAAATGGTTCTGAACCACATAGACACCGCACTCAAAGCTGTAAAAGCTAATGGTGCTGTCCTCTGCTTTGAGTGCGGTGGACATTCTCTGTCCCGGGAGAGACTGAGTTGGAGTATCCTCATATTGACTGACCTTCCACATGAGTCTCTGGGGAGGCCTGGACCTCTCTCAGCAGTCCTGGGGCAGAGCGGGCCCTGCAGGGGCACCTGAGGACCCCATGACCTGCTAAAATGTATCCTGAGTGTTGGCCTATGCATTTCAGAAGCGGACTGAATAATTGAGCGAATGGATGAGTGAATCTCTACTGGGACGGCATCAGATGGATAAACCCTGTGCGTTTCTTTTTCATCTTGCCCATCAAGAAATAAATGCCTCAAATCAAACTGAACGAGGATCTGATTTGATCCCTTACATTTGTGATGGGTTCGATTTGCTTTGGCTTTTGAGAAAGATTGCTTTTGGAACAGCCAATTCCAGCAATTTGGGTTTAGCTAAAGGAATTATGGGTTTATTTTAGGCCTTTATTTTCTTGTCTCGTACCTTTGTTGCTATGGTAACCTCCTACATCTCCCAAATTGCCCCTCTGTCTGGCTGATGGGTGGCCCCTTTTTCTTTTCCTCAACAAGGCCGTCACACTCGGTGGCTGTTTCATGTTGTCTCTTTCACTCTCCGTCTTTAATTTGGGAAAAAAAACCACTATTTTTTCAGTGTTTTTGATGTGCGATGCAGAAGGCTGGAGACCAGATGTCGGCAAATTGATCCGACCAGTCGCAGATGGAAATGTGTGAGTCAAGCCTGAGTGGTTCGGGCCTCGGAGTGTCACGTTTCTCTCAGCCCTCCTGAGGTGTGGCTTTCCAAACAATATATTTGGATCCAAGAGCCCTCCCTGTTTTCTGCCCCCTTGACACATACTTACCTTCATCAAAGTCTCGAACCCAGACTGTGTCGCTAATGCTCCTGTCTGAAAATGCTCCGCCGTGCAGCCTGTTTTGAAAAAGAGGAAGTGCCACGGTCTCCTCAACCACATCCTCTCAATTCAGTTCATCTTCCTAGTTGACTCTCAGAAACGCTTTTCTTTTACAACTACATTTTAAACAGAGGGCAGTTTGACGACCCGCAGTGCTAGATTTCGGAACAAGCTTCCTTCAAATTTGAATACAATCCTCAACTTCTTGCAGGCTTTTTTGACAGTTAGGTTCACGACAGTAAGGGGAATCGGTTCAGCCGGGATCTCCCGATTGTGTTGGTTGCTCTCACTTTGCTAAAGGTAAGCCGACTCAAAAACACCTTTTTGTTTATGACCTTGTTTGAAAGTTACTCTAAACGTCAGGAAAAGGAAGCCGCACAGTCATAAAGCACGCAGGGAAACAAAAGCTGCACGCCAAGGCTCTTCTCCTCTCCAGATCCAGGAAACAAAGGTTAGACGAGCTCCAGGTGGTGTCAGCTCTGTCAGAATGTGGGATTTAATGTGTTTGCTGTGGTTTGTATCAAACCACGAAGGTAAAAATGTTCAAATGGAAAATTACAGCTCTGCCAAATGACTTGAATCTACAACCCTTGGTCCAGTGCATTTGTCGGTGAAAAACAAAAAAAGGGGAAGAGAGAAAACCAGACATCTTCCTTTCTCAGAATGAATTTTCGACCCGATGGGCAGTGTCTGTGCTCCTCCGTCTAATGGCCTAAGTCAAAAAAGGTTCCACTCAAAACCTTTAGCTCGAAGTGCAATGTGCTTGAAGTGGGTGCAAATAGCCTGTTTTTCGTTTTTGAGTGATTTTTGAAGGAATACTTTTCCTCCCATTAGTAAGCTGTCTGTCTGTACAATCTGCCTCTGCTGGTCAGCAAGTCAATCCCCACCGGCAGCAGAAAGCAGAGCAACGTGGTCAAGGGCACTTTGTGAGCCGGTGCTGAGTGAGGGACTCTGCCGAACATACTGACAGAGTGCTTTTTTTTTTCCCTTCTGCAGTTTGTGCTTAAGCACTTCCTCTGAAAGTCTTTGGGTGCATTTAACTCTTCTGCACATTCTGCCAACTAGCCAAAAGTGGTGAATCTATCCCCCTGACAAGAAGAGATGGAGGCTGACATCTTTGACTATCACAAAGAGGAAGAGTCCCTGCGTGTTGAGTCTTTTCAGGGTATGTGTGCGTTTGCATTTAATAAAGTGGTAGATAATTATATTATGGCTTCACTTTTCCATCTGGTTGAAGTATTTTGTCTCGTATGCCTGATATCAATATCACATCACACAACAGATCATTTGAAAAATGTCCTCTTAAATGTGGGATGGACAAATTATAATGAATACTTTATGGAGGTTTTAATTCAAACTCCGAAAGAAATATGACGGGCAGATTCCTCATATATCGAAAGAGATGCTTACAACATTGTGGTTGTTTAATGACTGGTTCCTGCAAAGGGATTTGGTTTGATTGAAAACGCATTTAGGAAACCTGTAAATAAGGAGTCCATGCTAAATGTGTACAGCCTTATGTTCACAGTCAGATTCTAAGTACACACTTATAGCCACTTTTCACTTCCTCCACCATTTCTACTTTGGGAAAAGATTTGGCTTGTAAACATGGTGAACAGAATCAAAAAGCCATTTGGAGTATGATGTACCCACCCCCACCCAACTAAATGAAAAAAATCAACTTTAGTTGAAGCATTTGCTGCAAAGTCAAACTATGAAGTTTCTCTTTTAAAGTGGAGTGCCCCTGAAAAAAGTTCAACTGAGCGATGAAGTTTGACATCTACATTTTCTGGTTGGGTGGCCTGAATCTGTCTGTCTTTATGGACGTCACAATTCCTGACCTACCTTTATGCAAAATCCATGAGAAATGATTGATTAGCGTAACTTTCTCCTGTATTACCCAGCACTACCAACAGATAATATGTGAATTACAGAGCATTATGTTGTCAAAAGGTTCTGTGAAATGAATTAATAAATCATCAAGCTTTTCACTAGACTGCAAATTTTCAGTTTGTTTTGAGGGGCATTTAAACGCAAGAGTTTGAAATGTTCTGCATTGTCCATCCAGAAATCAATCACAGGTATGGATTTAAATGAATATCAAGTCGAATATACAGTAAATTTGTATTTAATTATTGAGTTTACACAGGGTTGATGGCCAAGATTGACAAATGACATCAGTTCAATCAACATTTGCAGTTTTGAAATGATTAAAGAGCTGTTAGTATGCTTCATACAAAATACAAACATACCAAGTAGAATACGAACTGTTTTAACATTTTTTTTATCAGGAGAAAAGAGGAAAGTCATTCAGGCAGCATCTTTAAAAGACCCCCAATTTAAAAAGCTGAAAGAGGTAAGATATTCACTTTATTCTGATGATCCATTTGTCTTCTCTTCTGTTTAGTGTTTATCATGTATGTTTGCACGATGTATGTATATGTGTGTGTTTGTATATATATGTATATGTATATATATATATATATATATATATAAAATGGTTTGTGAATCCACAATGCATCCATGTATGTGCTGGAAAAAGAAAGAACTACGAATGAAGTATTAGGTAGAGGAATTTGCACAAAAAAGAATTGAAATAATAATTTGAGGGATCAAAGCCTTGGAGTCAGGATTAAGCTCCATCTCTTTTTAAAGCCCTCTTGTTATCGACAAAAACAGAGCATCAGGTGTTCCATGAAAGTTGAAATTCCATACTTGATGACTTGTCCATGCAGATTCAACAAGCGAATACCACGTTTTGTTTTGTATTGCTTTGCATTAGAAACAATTTCTTATTAATTCACCTTCTCTGCAAATAAGTCATTTAAAAAAAAAAGCTTTTTCTCATGTACTGCATTCACCAAAAAAAGAAACATTTCCAAATGATAAAAGAGTTTTATGTCTCTGACTGTGTGATTAACTGTGCTCTCTGAGGAATTGGTGGATTGGATCAATAGGACTTTAAAACCAGAGCACATAGTGGTTCAGAGTCTGGAGGAGGATCTGTTCGATGGACTGGTGCTTCATCACCTGCTGTGTGAGATAACTTGATATTCTTCCTTCCACTCAAACGTATCTCAAATAGATATAAGAGAATGGAAATAAATGTGGTGCTTTCAAGTTGTCCTACATCCCACTCTAATCTTACAAGTGATCATTTCCTGGTTTGCTGCAGCCAGGCTGGCTGGGGTGCATTTGGCTGTGGAGGAGATTGCTCTGACAGGCTCTGCTCAGATTCACAAGCTGGAATTGATCCTGGGGGAGCTGGACAAGAAGCTGGGTGTGCAGGACGGCGGCCCGACCAAATGGAACGTCAACCGTGAGTCACGCATGTGATTGGGCCTTCACAACAAAGAAACAAGTGAACAAATGTTCCCTCTGGCAACGGCGTCCTATCACGCCAGGCTTTGGTGGGGGCCGTCTAAGCTTCCACCAACTGTGAAACATTCTAGTGCAGTTAAAATGTGCTGACACAATAGTGCTGTGTCAGAACATCCACCTTTCAGTGACAGTCATGTTTGGTGGACATGGAAACACTGAAACAAACAAACCAACAGAAAGCTGAAAATAAAAGGCCATTGAAAAGACAGGTATTCATTTAGAGCTCACACATTTGAAGCACTTCTTGATTTCTTTTGCTACTTCTAATTCTAATAGCACTATTGAAATGGTCTGCAACTCATTTCAAATATCTAAAATGAAAAATTAAAGATAAAAACTAAATTATTGACAAATGTGCAAATACAAAAAGAACCAAATGAAAATTCAGGAGTTCACATTTACCAGCACTCAATATTTGGCCGGCTTGCTGAGGGATTTGAGTCACTTTTAAATGCTTTTTTTTGCCAACAAGAAAGTGCTAAAAGGGATATTTTATGTGTTTTTATAAATGCATAATTTAGGATTGATCATAAAAGGCAGCAGCCTCTACAATAAACACAGGTGTGCCTTCCTGGAGAATATCAGTAGGCATCTGCTCTTTGATTGGCTTTCCTATAGCTGTTCTTCCATTTGCAAACCCCAGAGGTTTCTATAATGAAAATGAATAAATTGTAGTTAACAGACCATTGATCTTTACATAAAATAATGCTGTTGCACCCTGAATGTTTTGTACTTGTAGTAACAAAGCTAATGTTGATGACTCAAGTACATTATAAGTGGATTTCGCTTTTATGCAAGTCTCATGAACTCAGTGAAGAATATGTCACAAAAACAAAATGAACAAGAGCAACAAAATGTGAGATTAAACATGTCAATACTTGGTTTATGTTGCCTTTAGAACTCATTTTGGGCTCACTCTTAACCCTAAAATCCTAAACCTAACTCTATTCCATTTTGGCTAATTCCCTAAACGGCCATATGCATGAGTTTGAACATGGATGGATGTCTGTTTGTGTGTTTGTCCTGTGATCTACAGAGTCCAGAGGGTTGGCATAGCCACCCCTGCCGCCCCAAACAACGTAAAGCAAGCATAGACACTAGATCTAAATTAAACTAATTTAGACTTTGACTGAGGCTGCTGTCAAAAAAACTTTAATTAATGACAGTGTCTTCATATACTGTCACCGTCCCATACAGAGCCCTGTAAAGACACATTCACAGCCTAAATATTCAAATATGAGCGTTTGAAGAGATTTTATTTCATATTATATTATACATTTATCATAATACAGTTCTGTGTCAGTTTGTATGTACCCAAGACTCTCATGCTCTGCTCTTGGCTCCATACACAGCAGTCCAAGTCGATTTATTATTATTTTTCCTCTATGTGTTTTGTTCTCTGTTGTTTTCCCGTCAGTCATTCACAACAAAGACCTTCTGGCCACTATTCATCTGCTGGTTGCCATGGTAAAATCGTTCCAGCCTGAATTGGATCTGCCACCCAATGTGAAGGTTGAAGTTGTAATTGTTGAAGTGAGTCGCAGCACAAGCCGGAGCACCTTCTCCACCCCAGATCCCCCCCAGAAACACTTCCTGTGGAACTTCTGCACAGTTGTGGCTAACTAAAACCTTTTTCAGGTCACTAAGAGTGGAATCAAATCAGAAATCCAGGTAGAGGTCCTAACGGAAGACAGGTGAGTCGATTTCCATCCCGTGCAAATCTGTGAATGTGAGAAAAAAACTAATCTCCCACTCTTCATCTTTTTCAGCAGCAACAAGGCCTCGGACTCCTCTGCAGATCCTGATAGTGAGTGAGAGTGGTCAGAGGTTGAGCTGACATGACATTTTGAATGCCAACCAAACACCATTACAGCCTATGAACACATTTTTCCTGGTTTTCTTGTCACCTAGGGGAAGATTCCATTGACCAGCTGCTGAAACTGGAGGCTCATAAGGTCAACACGGTGAAGAAGGTATGACAAAGACATCAGAGCATGTGATGAGCTTGTTTAAGGTGTTGATGCTCTGATGTCCTGTGAGGCAGGATCTGTGGAGAACATGCAGAGAGCGAACCTCAAACTACTCGACTGGTTCTTCCTGAATCCATGTTACAGATCCAAGTGGATCCATCTTGCATCAGAATCATACGAAAATCAATTTAGCAAAAAATATTTTCATCCCTCAATAATTCCAATACATTTTATGACACTAATACTTTGCCAAACAAAAGCAAGCAAAATATTTAAGCACTTGGGCTAATAGGAAGTGCAGGTTGACTTAATTTTGCATCACAGGTTTTGTAACATTTATGCCTAATTTATTTACCTGAAATTAACTTAATTCACCACTGGTGTATTTTCTCTGTTTTTACTTATTTTGCATGGAATTTCTACTTTTCTGCCCAATATGCAAGATATGTTTCCATTTCTAGAAGAAAACACATGCTCCCTGTTATCTATCTATAAAACATTACATACTGAGGTGATAATAACTTGTGTGATGGACTCGTGGACCTCATAAACTGACTGCTGTAGGCAGCAAATATTTTCTTGAGAGCAAAAAAGCATTCAGTTGAAATTCAGGTCTCTTCTCTAGATTTTTCAAAAACATTTGAAATATTCTGGGTCACCACCTCAGCTTCAAATAGTTGTTTTCATCCGTCTGAAAGCCGAAAACCTTAGGATTTTGGTTCAAGTGAAGCTATTAAAAGAAATTACTGGATGAACTGCTGATGGGCTTGGTACTAAAATGTGTTTCCCGCTCAGGATGAACTGCAAAGCCTTTGCAAAGGTTTGGCTCATTTACTTGGCCCTCAAATCCTTTTCATCCGGTTGACGAAAGTATTATTTGACTCATCTTTTTAATGCAAATTGTAAGAAGTTCACATGAAGTGCAGAATCAAACAGCCTCTAATTCAGCAGGAATATTATAGGATAATACACCGCAGGGATTTTTACAAACTATGATGTGTCAATTTGATGAACACACCATGAAATGATAACTTAAAATGCCATCAAATGAATGCAATCTGAATCATTCAGTTTTTAATCCTTTTTTTTTTAGGCCATTCAACATTTTGTTAACAAGAATATGATTCATTTGGGCCTACATGTGGCTGACATGGACAAACAGGTGACTTTTCTTTACCACTGACTGATATTTTAAAAATGATAAAAAGTTAAGTGATAATCTCCTGTGATATTTCAATCAGTGTTTGGTGACATGTTTTAATGCTCTGTGCAGTTTGCTGATGGAGTGATTCTGCTGCTGCTGATTGGTCAGTTGGAAGGCTTCTTCATCCCACTCTTTGACTTCCACTTGACCCCTGTCAATGAAACGGAGATGGTACGCTATGGCTATGTGCATATATACTTAAATATGTATATTCTCCCGAGACCCATGCTTTAAAATGGTGTGTATTTTTGCTTTCTGCAATATGTATGGGATTTGTGGGACCTGATAAGTTTGATAACAAGGTTTTCTTATGGTAAAGGCAGTTTTTTGTCATCTTCAGACATTGGGTGTGTGTGGATATTTGAAAGTTTCATGTGTGATTTGGTTCTGAAGGTCCAAAGGACTTACTTACCAAATATTAATAACACAATATGGACTTGATTGGTTGAAAACATATATAACCCTTTTATTTTAGATTTGAAATAAATAGATAGATAGATAGATAGATAGATAGATAGATAGATAGATAGATA